ATGACGAGATCACACTGGACGAGCTCATTGCAAAAACCCACTCACTGGATATCAGTCCCGGTTCAGTCACCCTGATACAGATTCGGGGTTAAGCCACAGATGCATCCGAACACCTTCAGGCGGGAAGATACCAAGTTTAGGGCGTTTGTATGGGACATCAAATGCATGATATCTAGCTTGGTGGGAAGGTCGATGTAACTGGGGAGATTTTTCACGGGAAGACTTCTAGCTTAAAGCATGATTCAAAGGGCGTATATGCCACACTCCCACCGTCCCTGGAGGTTACACGCTACCATTCGCTGGCAGGAGTGCAGCCAACCATCCCCGACTGCCTTGAAGTCTCTTCGTGGACCGAATTCGAGAACGAGAGCGATCGGAAAATTATAATGGGGGTTAGACACAAAGAGTATACTGTGGAAGGTGTTCAATTCCACCCGGAGAGCATATTGTCTGAGAATGGACGGACCATGTTTAGAAACTTCCTGAATTTGCGTGGCGGTACCTGGAAAGAAAACGGCGGTCCTCGTTCTCAGCTAAGTGAGGATCCAACAGCTCTGAGGGACGGAAAATTAACGGGGAAGAAAACGATTTTAGATACAATTTACGAATACCGGAAAATTGCTGTTAATCATCAAATGTTGACTCCTTCCCAAAGACCGGAAGACCTACAAGCCGCGTATGACCTTGGGATATCTCCGCCACAAATATCATTTCCGGACCGGCTGAGACAGACCCCCTTTTCGTTGTCACTGATGGCAGAGATAAAGAGGGCTTCCCCATCGAAGGGCCTCATTTCGTTGTCCACCTGTGCTCCTGCTCAAGCACGAAAATATGCTATGGTTGGAGCTAGCGTCATATCGGTCCTTACTGAGCCGGAATGGTTTAAAGGAAGCATTGAGGACCTACGGGCCGTTCGCCAAAGCCTTGAGGGCCTCCCAAACAGACCGGCTGTACTGCGAAAAGAATTTATTTTCAATGAGTACCAAATTCTGGAGGCTCGACTGGCTGGTGCAGATACTGTTTTACTTATCGTGAAGATGCTCGACAATGATCTTCTCTGGCGGCTTTACCGATATTCTCAGCAACTGGGCATGGAGCCTCTGGTCGAAGTAAATACGGCCGAAGAAATGAAGATAGCAGTTAGCCTTGGTGCGCAAGTTATCGGTGTCAATAACCGTGATCTGAGAAGCTTTGAGGTTGACCTGGGTACCACGAGTCGGTTAATGGATCTGGTGCCAGCTTCAACAATCGTGTGTGCTCTGAGTGGTATATCAGGACCAAACGATGTCAACGCGTATCGTACCGAAGGCGTCAAGGCAATCCTTGTTGGGGAAGCATTGATGCGTGCTGAAAACACAAATCTCTTTGTCTCTCAGCTTTTAGGGGGTGGGGAGCGTGTAGTTGCGTCGATTCCCAAACGACCGCTACTTGTCAAAATATGTGGAACTCGAACACCTGCGGCCGCGCGCACAGCGATTGAATCTGGAGCTGATCTGATTGGCATCATATTAGCGAAGGGACGCACTAGAACAGTTTCGGATATCACTGCACTGGAGATATCTAAAGTGGTTAAATCAACTCCACGCCCAGCATCCTCAGTAATTGGAATACAGAAATGCGTTGGCGATTCTTCCGGTGTTAACTATTTTGACTATTCGTCCCAATTCCTCTGCCACTCTGAACGTGCCTTGCTAGTGGGCGTGTTTCTGAATCAACCATTATCATATATTATATCTCAACAACAAAGACTTGGCCTTGACGTCGTTCAACTCCATGGGTCGGAACCGATAGAGTGGGCGAATTTAATTCCTGTTCCGGTAATAAAGAAGTTTTCCCCCGGGGAGCCAGGGCTATCAAGACATGCCTGCCATACTCTTTCCCTCTTAGATTCCGGCGCTGGTGGCTCGGGTGAGAAACTCGACATCTCATCTGTACAAAACTCCCTTGGAAAAAGTGATGATATCCGGGTGATGCTTGCAGGTGGATTAGATCACTTGAATATTACCGACACACTTCAGCAGCTAGGCCGATATAGTGAAAAAGTGGTGGGAGTTGATGTTAGCAGTGGAGTGGAGTCGGACGGATCACAGGACTTGAAAAAGATACAGGCATTTGTAACGGCTGCTAAAAGTTTTAGAACTTGATGATATTAAAGTAATGTTTTTCCTTGTCATATTCCGTGGCCTCGATACAAACAACAAAATAAAAATTCGCTTATGCGCCCTATGTCTGTGCTTTACTGCTGATTGTCACATATATTAAATATCTCTCTCAACCTTCGTTGAATCTTCTAGGTTTTTTCTTCAAAATAGCAATCTGACTCAATGAACATTCTTACAATTTTCACCTCATGATGGTTTTGGCAACCTTCGGACCCCCCATCTTGTTGCGAATGGCCCAGAGCTGATCGTTCTGGAAAATAATTAGTCTACGGCTCACTTCGTTGGAATTCAGTGTCATTCTCTTCTTAATCATTTTTCATATCGTTTTCAGCATACCCCCTCTGGCGACCTCCTTCACCCTTTGTCAACCTTGCTTTCGCGCAGAGCAAAGGAATTGTAATTTCTCAGGAAACACTCGCCATATCCAAATCAATATACTACTATTGGCCGGACTGACTTATCCGAGACATGGGGAAGACCTTTCGCAAGATTCATATCAGTTTGGCCGGTGATTTCGGACCAATGTCTGAAAAGATCAAGCAGTGGGTTGAGGCCAAGAAGGATGCAACAACTCATCTCATCGCGACTAAGGATGCATTTCGGAAGCATGATGCAGCAGGTAGATCACCGCACATTTCCTTGGCTTTCTTAATACTTCCTTGTCCAGTCAGTTCTGCTTTTCGAAAGAAAATCTCCATGTCTTGCGAATTATTAACCCGGTGAATTTCAACATTTGCAGTCCAGCAGGCTCGCAACATCACAGGTTTGAAAATTGTGAAACTAGAATGGCTTGAAGATTCCCTTCTGTCCAAAAAGAGGCGGCCCAAACGCGAGACTGAATACCTGTGGTATCAAACACGAGGGACTCGTAAGCGGGATACAGTGAAGAAAACGAATGCCGTGATGGATATGGATGCTGTGGACACGGGTATGTTGCCTCCCGTGATAGAAATTCTTCTAGTCAACGTGCCAATGGAAAAATGGCGACAGCTGGTTTGAGGAAGCCACACCGTACTCGTGGCCCAGGAAATGAAGTTGGTGAGTATGGACAACAGAACCCACAGATCGCTAAGAGCATGTCATGTTCTACTCACTTAAATATGATACATAGATGACCATCATATATTCACCGACTTTGAAGGATTTCGTTATCTTGTGACACTTGTGCGCCCTCTCGAAGATAGCAAGCTCAAAGAAAAACATACACTTCCAGTATGCATGTTCCTTTCAATTCTTGCACTTTGTTGGTTATGTTTCAGCTTGTGTCTTCTACCTACATTCACCTTTTTTTTTGAAATTCGCTCTTTAATATACAATCCAGCTCTATGAATCCGATTCAAACCCTCATAAATATGCAACACTCGTGAAATATAGTTGTGTGGGAAGGACAGGGTCTGCTTTTCTTGCCCCGATTGAAAGCACGTGGGAGATTGCTTTGGAGGCTTTCACTAAGTTTTTTAAAGCCAAATGCGGGAAACAATGGGAGAAGAGAATGGCCAGCACAGAGCCTTTGCCGCGGAAAGACAGGGGGGGATGTGTCCTACCCAGTAGCGAAAATTGGTTTAGGTACGAACCATAGGGAGCGGTATGCACATACTGTGGTGAAAGGTGTGGCGTCAAATGGCGTTGCTGTCAACTGGTCCAGACAGGGTTATCACTTTTTTCGGTGATTAAATTGGCATTTTGGAGAGTTTTACCTTCAAATTCATTACCATGTATTGTGAATTCAACTTTTCCTTAGCATTATGAGTTTTATTTCTGTTTTATCAAGATCCAATGAATGCTGCTGTTATGAAATCGCCGTGAGCCAAAGATGATATTCAGGTGTCAAACCCCATCCCAGTATTTAACAAAATAACACAAACTCTACCATTAACGCCGAGGTAATTTTCTACGAGGCATACCTTTTGATAGCCGGTTTCAACCAGAAGAGCTTAAATAATCAATGCACGAATCACAAATAATCCTTCTTCCTGCTCGTCCTTGTATACTGATTCAGTGACCATTCGATTTCGCCACCGGAATCTTTCTCTAATGTCCCTCCTCTGATTTGAAATAGCCTCATTGTCATACGCGGCCCGACTTCGGCTAGTTCAACTGATTGGTACCCGGTCTTAACGAAGACATGGTGTCGCACCTCTATACTGTCCTCAATATTTTTAAACGTAACAACCCTACTGCCGAGCTTCCCATTTGCTTCCCGCGGAGGGAATATATGTTTCAAAATTTTAACGACGCGGGCCCCTAACTTGGTAGTAAACCCTTCAAAAATTAGGTGAGGATAACTTTCCGACACGGTTCCCCGTGCTGAGTTTGGAATATCTGCTCGTAGCATGACATTATGTAATGAGAAACTGGCAGTTGGGCCATGAGGAAGATGAGACACAGTTATCGCAGTAGGTGTGCCGCGATGCTCGTGTAGGATGATCATGTCCGAAAGTGCGGATGTCTTCGCGCTTGCGAGCAGATCAGGAATGACTATATTCCCTCGATTTATCCGTATTGAAGTGGGGATTAGTAGCCGCATCTCTTTGGCAAAGGTGCTAAGGCGTGTAGAAGGAGAACGGGAGGTGGTAATGAGAGGTCGAGGGTCCACGATGCCGGATGTGAGAACATATTCGTCGTCGAGGTCCATCATATCGGAATCTTTGGAGTTAGGCTGTTTCGAGTGTGTTGGAAGGGATTCATCGTATTTGAAGTCTTCTCGCAATGTTTTGTCATTAGCCACAGAAGGCTCTAACCGCTTCCCGGATGCAAGAGAAGCTTTCAGCTTCGCGCGCTTTTCTGCTACTGAAGCATCGCGGAGCAGGAGAGCTCTGCGGTAGAGGTAGTCTCTACGCTCACGAGCTTGGCGACGCTGCTGGATATGTTAGCGCATCCTAAATGTATCTATACTTGGAGGAAGAATAGCCATACAATCATTTGGCTGGTAGTTTACTTGCTCAAAAAGGCTCAAGGCTGCTCGCTGCAGAAATGGGTGCATGATACTGGTATTTGACTTTTTTTTTGAATCAACCTTCGATTCACCTTTGGTATGTTAGGGCTGCCGTAGTTTTTCACCAACTTCTCCAGTGTAAGTCGACCAGTGAGTCTCATCCCGCTGTTCAGGTGGTGGATTCCCATTTCACTTCTTTTCTTTTTTGATGTCTTTATGCTACAAATCTTTGGGCTACAGAACCGTAGTGACGGAAGTCCTGTTCTTGCCCTGTGGATATTTCGGCTGTGAGCCTCCCTCGACAGTCTATATGGTATCTGCGCGTCATAATACTTTGACGGACACTACGGCAGCAAATTTTGATGCTAACTGTTAGAGATTTCTCCAGGTACTAATCACTCCTTTCCTTTGAATATTCAGTCGTTCTGTATGCTAGTTTCGGCTGCACTTCTAAAGCGGACTGACCGTGCTTCTGTTCAAGTTGCGACCCTGGAAAATAAAGGCCATTCAATTGGGAAATGGTGAGATACGTCAATATGGAGGCCTTCAATTATATGGGGAATCATCTGGTTTCAGACTCTGCTTCTACGATCAATGCTGGAGATGACATGTCAACCGTCGACGGAGATGAAAGTATCTTAAATATGGCAACTGGGCCTCGAAGGCGACGACATGATGATGATGAAGAGGAGATATCAGATAGTTTTGAGGATGATGATTTGGAAAGCATGGCTAGCGTCCCTGTGGATAGAGCCAGCAAGGCCACCACTTCCAAACCCGAGGAAGACAAGGAACTACCAATTCATTCTTGCGCGTAAGTTTGAGCAATTTCCACCAGTCGACTTGCCAAAGTGATGTGAGGTTCACAGGCCCTGGCTGACCTTTGGCTATTCTCTTTTTAATTTAGATATTGTGGAATTCACAATCCCGGCACTGTAGTGAAGTGCTTAACTTGCACTAAATGGTTTTGCAGCGCGCGTGGCAACACGTCTTCCTCCCATATCGTCAATCACCTAGTTAGAGCAAGGCATAAAGAAGTTCAACTACACCCCGAATCATCACTTGGTGACACGATTCTCGAATGCTACAACTGCGGGACCAAAAATGTTTTCCTTCTGGGCTTTATTCCTGCTAAATCAGACACTGTTGTGGTACTGCTTTGTCGACAACCTTGTGCTGCGATGCCATCTTCGAAAGACATGAATTGGGATACTTCGCGCTGGCAACCTCTTATTGAAGACCGCTCCTTTTTGCCTTGGCTCGTGAGTTCTCCCTCTGACCAAGAGCAGCTTCGCGCTCGACATCTAAGTCCTCAAATGATTGCGAAGCTAGAGGAGATGTGGAAAGACAATGCCGCAGCTACCGTTGAAGATCTGGAAAAAGCAACTGGCGTTGATGACGAACCTGCGCCAGTTCTCCTTCGGTATGACGACGCATACCAATATCAGAATGTTTTTGGTCCTCTCGTCAAGATCGAAGCCGACTATGATCGCAAATTGAAAGAGGCCCAATCTCAAGATGGTCTGGTTGTACGCTGGGACCTGGGACTGAACAACAAGCATCTTGCGAGCTTTGTTCTCCCAAAGCTAGAACTTGGCGATGTGAAGCTAGCAGTTGGCGATGAAATGCGGCTTAAATATACCGGAGAGCTGCGGCCTAAGTGGGACGGCGTGGGATACGTCATCAAAATCCCGAACAACCAGTCTGACGAGGTTACTATTGAATTGCGAACCAAGGGCGACCATAAATCTGTCCCCACCGACTGCACACATAATTTCACAGCTGACTATGTTTGGAAAGCGACGTCCTTTGACCGTATGCAGCTAGCCATGAAAACATTTGCTGTTGATGAGATGAGTGTTTCGGGCTACATTTTCCATCGGCTTTTAGGGAATGAAGTTGCCGCTGGGCCTATGAGAACTCAAATGCCTAAAAAGTTCAGCGTACCAGGCCTCCCAGACCTCAACAGCAGTCAAACCAATGCCGTTAAAAGCGTTCTTCAGAAACCTCTGAGCTTGATTCAAGGACCTCCTGGTACTGGAAAAACTGTCACTTCTGCTAACATAATTTACAACTTAGCGAAAATAAACGGCGGCCAAGTATTGGTCTGCGCACCATCTAATGTTGCGGTTGACCAACTTTGTGAACGCATCCACAGAACTGGCTTGAAGACCGTTCGTGTCACTGCCAAGTCTCGAGAAGATGTGGAGTCTCCTGTGGGCTTTCTTTCTCTCCACGAACAGGTCCATAACAACGACAGCAATATCGAACTTGTCAAACTCAACCAACTGAAGGCTGAGCTGGGTGAGCTTTCCAGCCAAGATGAGAAGAAGTTCAAACAACTAGTTCGTGCTGCGGAAAAGGAGATTTTGAGCAATGCGGATGTTATTTGCTGTACTTGCGTTGGAGCTGGCGATCCTCGCCTCGCAAAGTTCAAATTCCGAACCGTTCTTATCGATGAGTCTACGCAGTCAGCGGAGCCCGAGTGCATGATTCCACTCGTCCTGGGATGTAAACAAGTTGTCCTTGTTGGCGACCATCAACAGCTTGGGCCTGTTATCATGAACAAGAAGGCGGCCAAGGCTGGACTTAACCAATCCCTGTTTGAGCGCTTGGTCATCCTAGGATGTGCACCTATTCGGCTTAACGTACAGTATCGCATGCATCCATGTCTCTCCGAGTTCCCGTCAAACATGTTCTACGATGGTTCCCTGCAGAACGGAGTTACCGAATCAGAACGTCTTCTAAAAGATGTTGATTTTCCTTGGCCTGTGGCGCACAATCCAATGATGTTCTGGTCAAATTTGGGAAATGAAGAAATTTCGGCATCAGGGACGTCATACCTCAACCGCACAGAAGCTGCCAACGTGGAAAAAATTGTCACCAGATTTTTCAAGGCTGGCGTAAAGCCTTCCAGTATCGGGATCATCACACCTTATGAAGGACAGCGTAGCTATGTTGTCAGCTCGATGCAAGCGACTGGCACGTTCAAAAAGGAGCTTTACAAAGAAATTGAAGTTGCGTCAGTTGATGCGTTCCAGGGCCGAGAGAAAGACTACATCGTGCTCTCCTGTGTCAGATCTAACGACCATCAAGGAATTGGATTTTTGAGTGACCCACGTCGGCTTAATGTCGCTCTTACGCGTGCCAAATATGGCCTGGTCATCCTAGGAAACCCGAAAGTTCTGTCGAAGCATCCTCTGTGGAACTATCTTCTACTTCATTTCAAAGAAAAGAACTGCCTAGTAGAAGGTCCATTGTCAAACTTGCAGGTGTCTCTTGTCCAGTTCAGCCGCCCGAAACAGGCCTATCGAGGACCACAGCGTTTCCAGGTAGCCTATAACCACGCATCCAATATGGCCAGTGGCATGGTCAATGGCAGGAATGGCCATCGCGGTGACTACCACGACACAGGATCTGTGGCCAGTTACATCCCAGATGATGTCTCCTCAGTTAATTCGTCTGCTGTTGGAGGCGTTCCTATTCCATCTGGATATCCTCATGTATTCCGGAGCTTTACTGACTCCTGGCCACACCTTCCACGCCACCGTCGCGCTAACGGATCTAGAGGCAAAGGTGCGTCTAGCGTTACTGGCGAGTCGGTCGCAGCTTCTGAGTCCGACGTCACGGGCAGTATCGTTGGACAAGGAGGCGTAAGCCTCTCTGGTTTAAGCATTCATGATATGAATAAGCAGGCAAGCATGAGCCAGTCTGATCGTTTGAAACGCTATGTCGAATCCGGCAGTCGTGGAGAGCCATACAAACCTGGACCTAGTGATAACGGCAGCATATTTGGAGGAAGTTCGGCAAGCATTCGTGTTCCTCGTGGCTGCCGTGGTAATCCAGCTGATGACGACGATGCTCGCAGTGTCTCGACAGCCTTTGCAAGTCAAATCGGTGGAAACTACGACTGAGAGCGTGCGTGCCCATAATCCATCACTATCGACTAGGAACTCTACACCTCTTGCAGAAGTGAATGTGAACTTCGCGAGACACATCCAAGATGAAAATGCTTTGCCCGATGCCCGATGCCCGATGCCCGACCGACAAGAACTTTCAATATATGTTGCTCTCTCCCTCGCCCATAGTCTATGCACTTGTTTGGAGCATACCCTTTTGAGCTCGTGGACCCGCCTACAATGACCCGACCTTCACTTTTGGGTCAACCGAGTTCTTCGAATCTATGAAGGCTTTATGCCTTAAATGCAAGCTACCCAATGTGACGGAACACGGTACACAACCATGCAGACACTACTTGTCACTTGTTTCACGTGTCTCTTGGTGGTTTTGATGAAAGCTGGCGCCAGGAGAATGCCATGCATGTCATGTGGTGTGGATGGAGGTTAAAACTTTCTTATCCCTTTGTGCGTGTCAGGTGGTGAACTGCAGTTCTGGCACACCGCTTCTGTTGGGGGAGGAAATGCCATTGTTGTAAGGCAGCAGTGTATATTCGTGTCTAATAATGCTAGGGGATACATTCTCGTGAAGGATTCGAAAAGTGCTTGCGGCAAAACCTACGACAGAACACTTATTGGAACTTGATAATGTATGTGGTTGTTGATGGGGAAAATTGCGTATGCGCAAGATGCTTTTATCTTACTTTTATTTATTTATTTATTTATTTTTTCTAGTTTTAAATTGACCAGGCAATATAGCTACGTTTGATTTCCTCCTCGTTGGTGATCAACTTGATGATGCGGGTTACAGTAGCAGCAGTTAAAAGTTTCCGAACAGGCCAAGAAATTTTGAACCATTGGCGGGATTTAGATTGTCTACTAGTAATCAGTGACGCTAATCTGAATACCTACCCTATGTGGTCACTTGGTGTAGAACAAGTGTAGAGAATCACTAACAAAACACCGAGGCGGCGTAACTATATTTTCACACAACCTATACCAATTTCACACATGCCCAACATGTCGTCTAATTATATCTTGTTAGAACGCTTAGGTAGAGTGTTCACTCTAGAACAGGTTAGCCAAATGTTCGAATTGCTGTCCAGGAGGCCTTTTGTAATTTTGTTGATAGGGCTGAAATAAAGTTATGTACTAGTGTGCAAGGTTGGTAACACTTTATTTCTTTACAGATGACAGACAGTATATATATATGATTATCTCCTAACTTAACTTATATACGGTCGGTATTTGGTCACTAGGCCGGTTGCTGGTCCGAGAAAGGACTTGCCAAATCAATGACTCGCCTAAATACTACACAATGTATCTCAGTCGGTTATCCACATTTATGGCACAACCTGTAGAGATATGAGGCGTTCCTTCTTAAGCCACGTAGGAGTCAACTAGCAATGTGGAGGGCTTTCGTCTTTGAAGGGTCAAGAGGTGCGCGTCAAGAATAACTAACATGATTGATTGTTTCTCAATCCTTCCCTCAGACTATAGGTTGCTTTTTTTACAATGCTAATAGTTAGTATCTTCTATCTTTCTAACTTTATCAATTAAACACACAAAGTCCCCTTCTTAAATGACTAACATTCAAATTTCATCTAGATTTCATGAGTTCAAAGGATGACTACTAGTGTTTCAATCTTCAAGTATCCAATGTTATAAAAAATGGTATGCTTTTGTCGATGGGCGCACTATAAGTAAGGGTGTTGGGCGCGGCTGTCTCATCCAGCCAGCTTATGGTCCTTTCAATCTAGGTGGTTAACACTGTATCCTGGCCAGTGTTGATAATGTTAATACTCAGATGCTCTGATTATGGATGAATAAAGAAAATTTTCATAAAGCTACTCGCGAATAATCTCTTCTAAGCAAAACTCAAACCAGACATTTCTCATGAATTTCAAGATGAGGCGCAATAATGAGTGTCGGAACTTGATGATGTCCGAATATTGCTCAAAAAATTACTGAATATCAAGAGAATAATTCTATTAATGATCATCCTGATAATTACAGTACATGAAAAGATTGTAATATCTATAAGGAAAGGGATGTGTAAGTGAAGTGAAAGGAGTTGTTCTTGAGTTTTAAGTCGGGTTTCACTGATACGATATTCGTTTGATCTGACAATGAGCTTTTGATACATGACCAGCACTGGCTGCATTCAGCGCCAACCACCTAGGCAAAAAGATCGTAAGAGAGATGGATCAGCCAGCCGCGTCCAACACCTTTACCTGTAGCGTGCACGTCGGTGGGGGTCTACCGTTATTTAAAGTTGACGAGGGGAGCTCTAGTGAAATTTTCAATCTCATTCCTCTATTCACTACTTAGCTGTCTAGCAGAGTCACTATACTTCTTGAGAGTGGCTACTTCAAATTCGCAAATGCGTTGATGTCAGAACGGTAGTGCTCCGAATATTGACTCAAATACTGAATATCAAAAGAATATTGCATAAGAAAAAGGCAGTATTTATAAGAAAGGGAATGCTCGATTATACAAGTGAGGCAGTGCTCGGGTTTCTTCAAGAAGTGAAAGGTGATATAAGATCTCTGATATTACGAATATTATCTCCAACAGTTGAACTCCCCAATAGGCAATAGATAATCAGAGGCAACTTTAATAAGTTCAATCACTTGGGCAAAGAGGTAGGATATCAATGATTGACCACGGGTTAATTACTTTTGAGCAGGTGTGATAGATAAAGCAGGCGATTTAATCTTAATTAGAATACTATATAATAAAGAAATGTATAGTTATGAAGGATATCGATGATTGCAAAAAGAAATGTATTGGGATTGACTGGTAGAACACTTAAGGGCCTGTTCGGTGATTTTGTCCGTACAGTGCCAGGGCCGTACAGAAAGTGGATATTTGCCTTTTGACAGTGCAAATCTTTATTATTATCATCTTTCCCTATATGAATAGTAACCTGTTTGATGTTTTGATATTACTTTTATTACTTATCACTAGTTATTATGATGATGATTATTAATTCTACTATATTATCACTTTCTCACATCAAATATCAGTAAAAAATGAATGAATTGAGTGTTAGATGAGACAGCTGAAATGCTCTTATAAATCACTTCTGCAGTAGTAAATCTGATTAATTGTTGTCTATTATAGATACTGTTGTATTGTCTTCTGAGCTGCATTATTAATATCACTTGTTGCTCACCATGATTCTTGATTTTTGATGATATTTGTAGGTTTCAAATCAGTCAGTGCTGGAACAAGTCAGGTCAAATCACAACTTATTCCAGCATATACAGTACAAACTTAACTTGAATAGAGTTAAATTATCCATTTTTTCAATTAATTACATCATTGAACTCTATAAAGTGGATTTTGAAATCAGCTTGGCACTTCATGATAAGTTATACAGAGTTATACACAGATTCTACTGAACAGCAGGTCTTTTTCAGCCAGATTAGTGTGTACAGAGCTGTATAAGTCTATATAGCTGACACTGTACAGACTTAGGCTCTTAAATATTAGTGCCACGAGAAAAAAACAGGGAAGCCTACCTAGGTATCAGGTTTTGGTGATATGCGCGCCTCAAAGAGGACCTTGCCTAGGTGAAATGTGGTTAGAAAAAAGTTGAGCACTCATCGGTAGGGTCTATCAGCTAGATATTCTTCTAAATAACAATGACCATTAGCAAATGTTTACGTCCATAGGGAAACTATGATTACAATGACATAACATAGGGTTGCAAGATCTTAAAGAAGATAGAAAAGCCGCTAAACTTGATTTTCCCTTTCTAACCACATTCAACTTTTTTCTCACCACGTTCAACTAGAACCGAGCAGCTTCGGCCAGGCTGAGCCCTTCTCAAAAGCTTCTCACTTCCCACACTGGTAGAATGGAGTCCATACCAATTCTAACCCCATATATACTATTCCCACGAATAACCACGAAAACGAACGTACCCCAAGTACACGAAACGAAAATTCGGCCATGAACCCAGCAACCCATTCTTCTGAAGAACCATTTTCGGAGGCTACCCTTAGAGATGCCGCCAAAGTTTTTCTTTTAGATGCTGATGGGAATAAAGTGAGATTTGGGGATCTGTATAAGCCTCCAGGACGCGGTAAAAAGCAGCGAACATTAATCATTTTCGTTCGTCATTTCTTTTGCGGAGTAAGTTCCCCAAGCGCATCAATATTGTGTTTGTGATTTTGTCCCTGTGCTTCAATTGCAAACACATCCGGTCAAAAAAAAAAAAAAAAAATTGCAACATCAGTGCATCACCTTGCACTGAGTAATATGTTTCGAACATGAGCCAACGTCAACTATTTTACAGAGTTGTCAGGATTATGTTAGAGCTATATCTTCGAGCATTCCAGGCCCATCGCAGCTACCCACCGATACAGCCATTGCAATCGCCGGCTGTGGTGCTTCAAGCCTCATCCCCCAGTACATCGACAGAACGAAATGCCCGTTCCCCATATATACCGACCCTACGCGATATCTCCATGCTTTGTTTGGAATGAAACTGACAATGGATGCTGGAACCCACGCCCCCGATTATTCTACAACCTCAATGTTTTCTTTAGTAACTCAGGGAATCGCAATGACTGTGAGTCGATTGCTGAAGGGCGATATGCTTCAGTCTGGAAACAAATGGCAAAATGGAGGAGAGATCCTTTTCGACGCTGAGATCCCCAACGAAGCGGAGGATGGCGGTGAGGAAGTTAAGGTCAGAGTCCCATTCTGTCATATAATGAAGAATACTCCCTTTAAGCAGTGAAGTTCCTGTTTTGAAAGCCGTGATGGGCCTATTGTTCAGGATAACGCGTTTAAAGAACAGATGGATGAGTTTTGTT